ATCCTCAGTTGTTTAGTACAACCCCTCATTTCTGTTTCCCCTCCACTAAAAGAGCTGGTGTAACAGATTATAAATATATTTTCCAATTTTTCCACTTTCAAATACCTAAAAGCTGGACTAATCTGCAAATAGAAGCTGAATTAAATCTAATGAAGTAAAAATTCAGGTAGTACTTGGTAAAATGCACAAACCCCAGTTCTTGGCTTCATGGAAGGAATATATTTTGATCAAAACAAATTCACAGTGGTGTCTGTTCTCCTCCTGAGATATTTTACAGTGACAGCAGACATGCCCTCGTGAATGAGTAATTTTCTTCTCACTGAAGGAAACCACTCACAAAGTCGGGCTGCAGCATAAGGGAGTAGGTTAAGTAATTCCTCACAAATTATACACACTTCACTGAGTAACCAGGGCTAGGTTAAACATATCATTTTGAGGCACGCAGTGTACCAAGATACTCCAGCTACCAGCTTTACAGATCACACTGTGAAACAGCAAAGTCAAAACCCAAGCCCTAACTCCACTAGGACAGACCTTCCAGATGATGAGTCACCTTCCTGAGCACCTCCCTCAGAAAAGCTGTCATTTTGCACAGGATTTCTCCCATCACCAACGCTACTAGCAAAATTATCAAAGAGCTATAGGCATAAGGACTCACACATGGATCCTAAACAATCCTGCAGCAGGCTCTGGGGACACACACACACACACACGAACACCCAACCACCAGTTCTGCAAAGTTACCTATCAAGGGCTTCTTTGAAGTACTTCCTCTGCACATCGAACTGGAAGACCGTGCGCTCACAGTCAGTGGAGGCGTTGTCACTGCCCCCGTGCTTCTTCAGGAATGCATCGAACCCGTTCTCATCTGGGTACTTCAGACTGCCCATAAAAACCACTGAAATGGGAATCAGCAAAGTTACCACGAATTAAAATTAGCATTTTAAGATGTCTGGTCAGAAACATTCTGTGGCTTCTGTACCTGTACTGTGTGTTTACCATCTACTGCTACAGAGAAAAAGGTTTATAAAACCACACACAATGTTTTCCTCCACGTTTAACACAAGAGCATGCATTAAGGCATAGCCTGATCCCTCCTCCCACATTAAGAGTTCCTCACTAGGGCACTATTTTCACAAAAGGACAAATTCATTTAACTAATAAATGCCAGGTAGCTGAAACACACAATACCATAGGAATTCAGAGCTAACTAGCATTTATTTTGCACTTGGAGAAGACAAAATAGGAGCAGATACATACTGTGTTCCAGGAAGTGTGCTAATCCAGGCAGATCTTCGGGATCAGAGAAGCTGCCAACAGCAACGCAAAGGGCTGCTGCAGACTGAGGAAATACAACAGTTTCAGTAAAAGCTGCCCCAAGAAATATTTCAGGAAAATGACAGATGTATAAGACAAATCAACAGGCATAACAGAAAGAATGAGTTTGAATGCCTAATCACAAGGAAGCTCTCTATAACACTTTTTTCACTCCATTGCTTGAAATACACACCTGCTTTTCTGTGCAGCCTCTCTTTCTTGTCTCTTCCTTCTCAGCCAGCTCTTCTAATTCGCTGTCATCATGATCATTGAAATCCTCATTATCTTCTTCATCGTCATCATCCTCATCCTCCTCATCACAGTCCTCATCAAAACCTTCTCTTCCATCTTCAATCTCCGCTCCAGAGTCATCTTCATCACTTTCCTCTTCAGATTCATCATCATCCTCCTCCTCCTCTTCTTCTTCTGAAGATAACGCAGATGGGGCATCATCCAAGTAATTCAAATCCGAAATTAAAAGTGCACATAAGCCATTCTGCAGTTTGATATACCTGAAAGAATAATTATTTGCAATGGATACACTCAGTTCCCAAATCTGAATGTACAGATGCATGGAAATTTGTGTACTTCCCATAATAGCCCTCTTCTTCAACAGAGATTTCCTGATAAAATAAAGGCAGCTAAGGTGATCAGCTCCGCAGTGGAAAGGTAAAAATACTTCTGATATTCAACAGCAAACACTGTCAGGAGCAAGCAATTACAGGCAGAAGCAGAAGCCCTTCTCCCCACAACGCTCTGGACATTGATTTAGGCTCTTATGTCTCTCTTTGAAATAGACAGGCTACTGGCATCTAGAAAGATTAGGTTAGAGAAAGATTTATGGACTCAGAATAAATGAAACCAAACATCAGTAGAGTATTGTGTTTGGCATGCTCTCATCACACAGATTATGTGGGTGAACTAAGATACTTGTTTTTGCCTCAAAGTAGGCCACAGAGACTCCATTTTATTTGATTTTAGAAATGTTTTCCATCAAATGGGGTGCACAGATTTTTTAATAGATGTGTTAAGTTCATAAATTACAACATAAATTACAAATGCAGAATTGAAAGCACCTGCTCTGGCCCTGGTTTCCTAATCACTAACACCTGATTTGTGCACAGCAGCACCTCTGAGCACCACAGGTTCGATACAACCAGGAGAAAGCACAACTGCATTTCTGTTCATTTAAACCACAGAGCAAGGTATAACATACAGAAGCATATGAGTAACTGCAGGAGGAACAGACAGTGCTAAGATGTCTGGGCACAAAGTCAGTCAGCCACGTGTCCCAAAGATCTGGGATAGAGAAGCACGTTTGTACCACGCACGTCACATCACGCAGCTGCAGCACTTCTGAACGCACAGCGGAGTCCCAGAGCCCAGGAGCACTGCGCACTCAGCTGCTTCAGCCTCTGGAGAATGCAGAGCAGGAGCTGCAGGCAGCACAAGGCAATGCTGCAGCACGCCTTCCAGCACCACCTCCTCGTGCAGCTGTCTGCTTCTGCTGTGTGCGCCCAGAGAATGCCCTGGGAGCAACACACCATGTATGCAGAGAACAGCACAGAGCGACCCCTCCAGAAGGCTGGTTGCCATGAAGCTGCTCAGCCAGGTGTATCCAAGAGCTGTGTTTAACCCTTCCCCACACCGCCATTAAAGCCAGGGAACAGGTGATCCCAATTTGACAGTACTCTCTCCAGGCTTGTGGGCGATAGATGCTAACAGCACCCAGCAGCAGTCAACAATGTAACCCCACTGCTGCTGGAGGCTGTCAGGTTCCAATGGAGGAGCACAGGAGCAGGCTGTACCCAGCAGAGCATCACCAACACAGGTGCTCTTTTTCCATCTTTCAGTCCAATGGAAAAGAACAAGTGCAATCAATACATAAGTGTATCAACTACTATGCAACGTACAGATAGAAAAATACAATCACAACATAGCAAGATAAGCAACTTAGTCCAGAGGCTGACTGAAGTGGCACTGACACAAACAATGTATTAAATAGACAATAAAACCCTTCAGAACACATCCTGGTACGTTGGAACAGATTGTTCTCACACCAACCTCATTGTTAATTGTTCAGCAGTTAAGTAAATGCTAAAATCACTGCGTGGTTAACACTTAGAGATGTTCTATTTTCCAAATGTCCCAGAACCAAGAGTACAAACCTATGAATTGTACTTGTGTCCTTAAATGAAAGGAATTTGGGGGGAAGAAAGAAAAAAACCACAGCTCTGTAACCACCCAGTCCTAATGACAGAATGCATCCCGCGCACAGAAGCCTTCTGATCATTTCTGTCTGAACAAACTTCTGACAATGCGTGCTGCAGTCTGCTCTGCTGTTATGAACAGCGTATTTGAGAAGGCAATTTGGCGGCACGTCACGGTCTAAGACTGATGGCCCCAGATGAATTAAAACCACGAGATGCATTACCAATTTACCAACAGAGGAGAAAAAGCGTATGCGCGCCACCACATCTTTAAGTATCTCAAATTTGAAACGCAGTCCTTTGAGGCTTGCTTTGCCTCCAGCACACCGAAGTTCTCTGTCTTAGCTAAGGGCAGCGTCATCCGCGCCGTGCGAGGCTCACCTCCACACGCACCAGCCACCCCAACGAGATACGTACAGCTCCCGGCTTCCACCCGAAACCCACCCGTTAAGCACGGGTTTCCGTCAGACCTCGGTATGCATCGATTCCGCGGCAGCGTAAGCGCGCTCTCCGGTCCCGCGCACGCAGAGCCTCGGAACGCACCGCCGGCGCCGCTTCCCGCAGCCCAGCCCCTCCAGCCGAGAACCCAGCCCGCAAACAGCAGCGGCGAGGCAGCGGGACCAGAAGCGTCCGCGAGGAGGAGGAGCAAAAACCGCCGCGCGGCCAACGGGAGCGGCGCGCGTCCAGCAGCCGGCCGGGAACTTCGCTCAGCCAACGTCGGCGAGCCCCGAGCGCAGCCCAGGGCCGCACGGAGGGCGGCGCGCGTCGCCCGGCGAGAGCCGTGCCGCCTGGGGACGCCCGACAGAACGGCGGCGCCGCGCTTTCGCTCAGCTCCGAACGCGGCTCCGACTCGGGAACTCGAGCGGGAAGGGCTGCCGTCGGCACCGCCCCGAAACGCGCGGATCTCGCCCTCCGGACGGCCGCCCGCAGAGCCGCGCTGCGGCTCCTTCCCCCTCACGGCCCCTCACGGCCCCTCACGGCCCCCCGCCCACCTCAGCTCCCCCGGCCCACGCGGCGGCCCCCCGGCTCTCACCGGTACTGCTTGGGGTCGCTGGGGGATTTGACGATGTCGGGGTCGCCGACGTTGCCGCCGAGCTCCCCGCGCTCCTCCTCCTCCTCCGAACGGTCCCGGGCGTCGCGGCCGCTCGCCGCGATCTGCTGCCCCATCGTCAGCTCCGGGCAGCCGTAGTTGGATGTTGCCTTGTTCCTACCGGGCATGGCTGCGGCCGCGCGGCGCCACAGCGGCCGGGCTAAATGGCTGGGCTGAACGGCCGGGCTGAACGGCCGGGCTGAGCCGCGAACCGCCGGCGGCGGCTCCGCCACGGGCCGCGCCGTTCGGCCCCTCAGCGCGAAGGCCGCCGCGAGCCTGCGCGCGAGCCTGCGCATGCGCCGCCGCCGCCGCGCAGCCGCCGCCCCGCCGCCAACCAGGCCGGCTTCCGCCGCGCGAGGAAGTGGCGGTGACGGTTGCCACGGCTCCAGCCAACGCCCGCCGCGGCGCCACGCGCGGAACGCGGCCCAATCGCTGCCCTCGTTCGGACGGAGCGTGCTCTGATTGGCGGAGGGAAGACGGGTGCCGCGGGGGAAGCCGCCTTGCCTCGTTTCCTCCGGCGACCAGCCCGACCCAGCAGCTCGCGCAAAGCGCGCGGCCGCCGCTCGCTGTGGGCGGTTTGCTCGCCGCCGTGCGCGCGCTGACGAACTGCGTGCTCGCCTCGTGCTGTACGCGGTCCCGTTTCTGCCAACACGAGTTACGCCCAGCCCCGCTCTGCTGTGCCTGCACTGCACGCCCAGTGTCAGATCCGCAAAGCGGTTCTTGAGTGCCGGGCTCAGGGACCATCAAAATGTGCTCACGCAGCTCGATCAGAAGCGTTAAAAGACACCTCCGTGCGTACACACGAGCGGCTGCTGTGACACAGCTCCTCCAGGCACACCTGGTGGCGACGTTTCTCTTTATTGGGCAGTTTCAGAGCGTTCAGATACAATCACGGCACTCCTACGTTGCACAAACCGCATTTTCCGTAGCGGGTCACACACACCAAAAGTCACTGTAAAGATTTCTGAAAGCAACAAACAAACTGCGGTGCAAAGGGATCGAGCCTTGAGCATGCTGAGCTCAAACAACGTCAAGATAGTTGCATTTTTCTCCAGAAAACTGGTGGGTTTTTTTCTTCAGAGAAACATAAACTCTTGAGATGTGACAGAACAGAACTCCAAGAGCGAATGAATGCTTGTGCCATCGTGAGGCAACTCACAGCACTGTGGGCAGATGCTGGACTCCAGATTCTGACAACAGAAAGTCTCCTTGGTCAGAGGAGCGTACAGGCCTATGGTAAAGCCATAAAACTTTTCATAATTTCACCACAATACAGCAAATTTTTTCTACATCCACCTCATTTACGTTTACTGATGCAAATCACAGTCACTGCGTGGAGCTGGGCTGTGCAAACAATGGTGCAATCATGGACAAAGGCATATGCTACACAGTTTTACAGATTCACAGAAGCAGTTCCTCTGCACGTGGCCAATGCACCTGTATGGAGTCCTACACACATACAGAGCTCCATATTTTAGTACAGGTATATATTTAGTACAATAATATTTTAGGTGTCAAATATTAAAAATGATCACAGAATCACACCACATCTGTAGTGTACCTCATATCTTTCTTGTTTTTCAGTGGTAGCTATGTTTCATTCATCACTTCTTTCCCCACACACTTCTAAAATTATACATGGTGGTTGAACCTGAAAACCTATCCCCACACATGCACCCATCTAGCACGAAATTAAAAAATGGAATCAACAACACAACGCAGAGAGAAAACTAACAACATGGCACTAATACTTCGGCTCCTGCTTTTTTTCTGAGATAGTGCTGCTTCTAAGTCTCACATACCACAGCTTGCCTCCAGCCAAGCACACAGCAGCCAATCCCTCATCTCCGTCGTCCTGCAACTCATCTGCCATCGAGCAGTTGATCAGAGTAGATCCAAACACAGGCACTTGCAACACTATGCAATTCTTTTTCTTCATTCAACGTAACTCACATGTTAACAACTACATGCACCCACGATATTTATTCAGTGTTTGTTTTTAAATTATCAGATAATATATATTAAACACTCCAGCACATTAAACATACCAGTTTCCTACAGCAGAGACTTCTGCCTTTGGACTACATGGTAACGAACCACAAAGAAAGAGATAAAATTTAGTCAGGAAAGGAGAAGGACATTTCTCAGCAAGAAAGGTCACTAACATGAGCAGTTCTGCTGTGAAGGGGGTGGGTTGTCTGTGAGCCTCACGTTCCTTCCCGAAGTGCCCCTGGAAGGGTCTGACTCTATGCTCTCTGACATCTTTTCACAGATTATATCCACAAGACGCTCAAACACCTGCCTTACGTTGATGTTTTCTTTGGCACTAGCTTCAAAATAGTCAAAACCTGTGAGAAAAAAAATAAGAACAATAATAAATCAAGACTGATGATATGGAAATGATTTTAAAAATACCTTTTTTCTGCCCCCCAGAATTCACCTTAAGAAAACAAGATACTGACAATTCTTAGGCTCAGCTGACTCTCACTGTTTCAGAACAATGAGCAGAAATGCATCTAAAATTCACTATCCCTGCTGACAGCTGGCACTGCTCCCCTCCCACAAGGGCCTGAGCTCTGCCCCCACCAGGAGCAGCGTGCTGATCTGCCAAGCTTTTACCTATGATGTTTTGGGCCTCACACTTTGTCTTTCTAACCCCAAGGGCCTCAAAGACCAACCATGACTTATAATAGCTGTTGCTTGTGCATCCTGGGCTATTATTTTGCCAGCAGCACGAGCTCAAATATCACACAGCTTACTTTGGAATAAGACATTTATATTTTGGGGGCATCCTGCATCAGTTTCCTTGATTCTGTCACAAAAGAAGGGAAAGAGAAATCTTAAGTGACAGCCAATTCTTGTGGACTGAATCACCCTGTAAGCAGTACAGGTAGGTACTTACCCCATTCTAACCCTTTTTAAGAGTCATGGACTAACAGGGGAAATGTACATAAGAAATCAGAGAAGAGAACCATGATATTTGTCTGTCTAACACTGGTTTAGCTTTTGCTGTGGCAGAAGTTGTTTTGATTCAGTTCACATTCAGGCCAATAAATTTCTTAATGTGGTTGGAAAATGATTCCAATGAAGTTAATGCCACTGCACAGGCTTAGAGAAAAATGCTGAAGGATATCCTTTAAGTGAATCATTATGGTGAATGCTAATTGCTTAAGTAGTCAATAGTCAATTAAAGAGATTTCTCCCACCCAATACACATAGTAATTTCAGATAACGCTGAATGCAGCTATCACAGTAAATTCACAGAAAAGCTGCCTAGTAAAACCAGGTACTTTTTCCAGCTCTTTTAAAAGACCATTCTGGATGCTGGGAGGCTGCAGAAGAAGAGGGATGGGACAACGCTTTCCAAAGACACAATTAGCTTTTATTATCCTTCACAGTGGGACGTGTCTAGCACAAGGACAGGTCAGGGAAGAGCTAGGGATTCTCCAACAGAACAGCATCCTGCTGATGGAGTCAGTTCCTATGGCGACTCCTGCATGTGCATGTGCTTCCAAGCATCCCACACATAACAGTTTCAGATTCTAGATGTCAGATTTGTATTTAAATGTACAGATCAATTATTCTGGAGGGAGGGAGAAAAAACATTTGTAGTCCACATAGAAGTAGGAATTTCAGCAGAACTCACTATTTGATTTTATATTGGTACTGGACAATTGGACAAAAAAAATTGGACAATTTTTCAACTACTAACAGTGTAATTACTCTTAGAAAAATGTGGGCACAAATTTGAGAATCTGCAAGAAGGAACCTGGATTATTCGTACTTTTGAAAGTATACTGAATTTCAGTATGTGGAAAAGATATGCAAACTGGTGATCTGATCAAGGTTACTCCTTAATCATCTACACATTGTACACTGCACTCCCATACCCTCAGTCTAACAACAGATTTTGCAACCACCGATTACTACTTAAGAACTGAGAACAGCATAAAATTTCATGAATTTGTGGATTATGATTATTCCTTTCAGTCTGGTAAGAATCTCTGCTCTTACAAACTAAACAAGGATTTATATGTCCAATGTAAGGGTTTTCACAGTTTAACTACAGTCAATTTTAACACTATTTTCTTTGCCACGTGAATTCTTCAAGAGAAGACATTACAGTTAGTGAAGAAACCCAGATTCCATATGCTATAACATATAATGAAAATAATAAATAAATGAGAAATCAAGGTGGGTACCCTATACTTTGTTGTCCTCCCAGAAATTTGTAATGCAATTCTAGCTTCCTCTCAATGGAACTCTTTACTCTTTTTATCCTACGTCAACAATGCTGTGTCATTTTCCTACTGGGGTAGAAAAGTCTAGCATAAGTTTAGAACATTCTACTAGACTCTACTAAACGCATACCCAGCTGATCAGCCAGATGTTTCCCTTTCTCCAAAGGAATGATCCTTTCATCTTCCATGTCACATTTGTTTCCAACCAGGATCACTTGTGCGTTGTCCCAGGAATAGGTCTTGATTTGTGTGGCCCTGCAGCAGGATGAGAAAGATTGTTTCCTTCCATCAGCCATGCCAAAAGACAATCATACTTTAAGTATGAAAATAAATACCATTAAGCACAATATCCATATCCAAAGACTGTTGATCGACTAAAAGACAAATGATCAAACTTACACACGGAGCAAAATGCAACCAATTAATCTGCAATCCCATTCTGTTTTATTATTCCTTAACTTTGTATGACAGTAAAGTTCCTTAATACTTTGTGTTTTAGAGATCTTTAGATTCAGACAAAAAACTGAATTGAATGAAATTTAAGGGAAAAAGCATACATCTCCATCAGCTGCAATCTCAGAGCAACAACACCCAATCATACATTTTACATTCTTCTCTGGACAGAACACATACAATAGATACACAAAAATATTTCAGAGCAGGAAAAAAATAATTCTGATTTGCAGCAGCACATTTGCTGCAGAGTTTTAGCAACTTTGTAAGTTGTGCTTCGAGAGTCAAACACAGATGGAAGCAGAGTCATCTTTGCTCCAACAGGAAAACCACTGTGGAGTCTGAAAGTTGCATAGAAACATGGAAAGAACTGCTAAAGAAAAACAGAAATTTACCTGACTGGGAAAATATGGGCTCAAGGTAATGTTCTGTAAGCTAACATTTGAACCCAGCTGGATTAAGTGATACCTGAAGCAACAAACAGCAGCTGCAATGACAGACTGTATACATCTGACAAACGCTAACATCAATGACAGAGGGATCAAGTGTGTGGGAGTTGAAGCAGGAGCACTGAGATGAACTTGAGCCACAGAGAGCTTTGGAGGCTTTGTGTACTGTAACCAGAGTGGAACTGACTGTGAACTTCAGGAGTCTGACCTTACACTTAGCCTCTTAGTTTTTTTTTTTAAATGTCAAAATAAAAGATAGATATTTTCATACTGAGGGGCCAGTCTCTTCTCACCATCCTCAGAGGGTTGTCACAGAGATTGCAGCAGAACAGTATTAACCTGGTAGCATTAGTTTTCATACATCTTCCAGGCTGGCCCAGCCTATTTTGTCTTCACCAAGCCATCTCTGTCTTTTAAGTCTCCCCCCTTTCCAAAGGTAATTAGGCTGCTGTGCCGGCAGCCTAATAGGCCTTCATATTCCATTCCTCCTCCAAACGGTGGGCCTGTCCCTATTCACCTTCCCATATTTTCTCCCCACTCACCCCCAGTGCAAGTTGCTTACTTGCTGTTGCAGGGGAAATCAGATGGCGCGTAACTCCACAGCTGTCTGTGAAAAAGGGGTCAATTCACTGCACAACTTGACTCACAGCAGCAGCCCGTTTCATTTGCACTGGAAAACACAAACCTAGAGCAAGCCCACTGCACCAGTCCAGGCTCACACTGCAACTTGCAAAATTAAGAAGACTCTGTGCAATGAAACTTGAATTCTTATTACTACCCAGGAAAAGGGCATTCACTGCAATCACAATTCTTCACTTCACTTTCACCCTGCTGAGCGTCCCCCATGTAGACAAGTCCAGCGAGAGCTATACGACAAGTTTTTGCAGCATCCTGTGCCTTTTCAAGGCACAGCACAGAAGGGGATGACTTGAGAAATCAACCAAAAGCCCACTAAGATGGAATTGCTCCATTCTCGTTCTGTAGACAACTAGGATAATTTAAGTCTCACCAGGCTCCTCTTCTGATTCCTATTCCTCTCTCTGGACTGGTTTCAGCCTTCAAGGGGGTCACATGAAGGCACACTGCCAAATCTTGGCTATCTAAATGGAATTACTTGAAAAATGAAAAAAAGGAAAAAAAGCATGAAGGACCTCCCACTGAAACTCACCACTCTCAATTTGTAAAAGTTAGTGAAAATCTTCTCTCTCCAAACACTGACACTTACAGTTATTGGGAATGATAACAATCATAATAATAATAAAAAATACATTTATGAAGTAGAATGTCCAAATAATTCTTATTCTTATCCAAAGATAAAGCAGCAAACTTGCAGAAAGAGTTATTTAAAATAAAAAAAAAGCTTATGCAATTGATTTGTTTGAACAACTATCAGGACAGTTCAGTATATAAATTGGGAACATATCTGTGACACAGCAATAATGTTATGTGTTATTTGTGCTGAAATCCTCAAGTTAATGATGAAGCATGATTTTTAAAATTCATGCTTAGAAGAAAAATAGTCCCAGGTTCACAACATCAACAACCTAATTTGGAGACCAGCCTTAAGGATAAATAATGCTAGTGATTTGTGAACCCAGTTGTCACTTAAATCTAAGTTAAATTTAACCAATTTTTCCTTCCCTTCTATGAAATTGCCTAGATTGTCCAAATTATATTCTACTTCCCACACAGTTTCAAATGAGGTTTAACACACTGATTTATCTACACAAAAAACTATCAAGGCAATATCAAAGAATAACTAGCAGAGGAGACTGTTAAGAAATCTGGGAACTGAACTGAAAGCCATAAGAGCTCATTTAACCCTTTCACTCAGCTTACAGAAAAAACATTCATGTGAATGAAGATCTCATGCCTACAAACAACATCAAGAGCTTGTCTAAAAGCCTGATATAGGCACCACCTTCCTTATTTAGGAAAAGAGTACCTTCTGTTAAGGTGAAGTATTTCTGTAGTGACACAAAGGAAACTCAAATCCTCTACAATGTCCATTCTTAAGAAGGGCATAGGAAAAGATCACCCAAGGAAATTCTGAGGCAGTTAGAACAGACACTGCCAAGGAGCCAGAGACAGGAGGTAAAGTACACTATGTGCACATAGAGCAAGTTTTAGAGATGTTGGAGCTTCATGATAAAGGTTGGAGAATAATCAAGCTAGCAAACACAATCTCTGATGGCAGTGTACTACCTAGAGGGTGATTATAAGCTCCACGATACCAGGGAGGTTAACAAGGGAAAAGCTCTCTCTCTTTGGCTGAGAGCTAACTATGCACAAATCCACCTCCCTGTAACACATCAGTGTAATGATGAAGATGAGTTTTGGGATCTCTATACACCCTTGGGAACGCAATAGAAGCTAAGAGTTTGTCATGGGCAAGAGCTTACTTGGAGCTCTAGGTCTCAGGTTCAGCTGTTCATGTTTCTGTTTGTTTTCTGCAGGGAGCTGTGCAGGAAGAGATGGTACAAGAGAAAGCAGCAAGATGGGCTGAGCATCATATTGGCAGCCTGCTTACATCTTAATAAACCAGAATCACTTAGCAGCAGTATGCAGGTCACCAGCAAGAAGGAACAAGCTTTAGACTGGAGAACATCCTATTGGAAAACACATAGATGACTACCATGTTTTACAGTATCTGCTAAGGTACTATATAATAAATGTACAACACAATAAAATATGCTGAAATTGTACCTATACACTAACTTGCCCCTGGCTAATTTCAAAACACACTTGGTTAAATCAGTGTAGAACCGCATAAAGAAAACCTAAGGGAAGTTCAGAAAAGATATAATAAATATCTTTTTCTATCTGAGAATTCTGATAATACAGTACCTGTTTTTCTTCTTCTTCTTCTTTTTTTTTTAATTCCATTCCTATTTTCTACCCAATTTCCATGTAAATGAAGTTTTAATATATTAGCTCCAACTTCTTTTTAGATATCTGTCACACTGGCCATCAAACATGCATGGATGTGGGCAGCTCAGTTAAAATTATCCTTTTATTAAATTTTGTATTGAAAAGATTTGAATACAACAATTCTTTAAGTTCTTTTTTCTTACAAAAGCTTAAGTCTTTCCTCATTATTTCCAAGCGTATTCACTGATTTCACAAAACCAGATTAAACTTGAATCAGATGAAGGCATATCACCAAATGTGAAAATGTTTAATAATTATCTGAGGGGAAGGCTGTTCTTTGTCTTTTAATTTACAGAAAAACATTTTCACGTTATGAGGACATTTGATGGGCTTCATTCTGTTGCTCGCTGCGTGGGTCTCAACTTTAGCTTATCCAGTCTTCTCATGCCAGAGAGACACTCAAATTCCATCCTCACACGCCACTTCAGAAGTAACAGGCTCCTCTTAAAAGGCTTAATTCATGTTAATAGAATACTGCTCCTTTTTTCTCAGTGTCTAAAAATGTCAGTCAATCTACTGCGTCACACTGCATTTATCACAAATGTTTAACTTAACAGAACTCTTTATTTACTGTAGCTGGAAACAAAACAAAAAAAACAACCAAACTGTATGCCTAGCCAGCTACAACAACAAGGCACTTAAAAGGGAGAAAAGATATATAGGACTAATTGCTATTATTTCTGGAAACTTGCAGGATGTAAAAATACCAGCATGAGCTCTGTTGTCAGCTTTTACACTTATTCCAGGTGGATACTCCAACTAATCTCAGTGAATGTTTAAGTATGGCCTTAGCATGGCTTGCTGCAGCCTCACCTAAACCTCTGTGCAAGCAGAGGCTGCCAAACAGAAGCACCGCAGGGGTGCTATGGCTTGCTTTTATCACCAGGCATGCTGCTACCTTGCACACTTGACCTTACAGGCCACCAGGCTCATGGAGAGAAAGACTCTAGGCTAAAGCATCTTGTTCCACTCCAGTAGCAGACACCTTCATTTTCCAGAGATTGTACAGTTCCTGACTGAAGACCAGATCCATTGGAATGGCTTTGGGTTAATATTTCAAACAAAAACAAACTGCATCACCAAGCACAGTGGAAAACAGAAAAAAAGAAACCAAAACATCGTACATATTTACTATTCTAGCAGTATGCCAGGGGCTGATACAGCAGCACCAACAACAGCCTGGATTTGCATTTCCAGTCCCTTCAGAAGTTTAGAAAACAACTTTGTAGATTGGGAAAAAAAATCTCTTAGCTGCATCACCACTAGAGGACTCTGCTGGCTTTGCTACAAGTCTTTAGTTCTTCTGTGGACAAGATTCAGAAAGGAAACAGGCTACCACGGGCTGATTTTATCCATACCCCATCCCCTTGGGCTCAGAATCGTCACGCTCATGGTTGGAAAGATTCCTTACATGACAAGTAAAAATCAGCAGTGATGGATCACCTCTGTCCTTTTGCTGGAAATTTCCTCTCAGCAAAGTTCCTACTGCAGCCCCTGTGGCACAGGGAGATAATCAAGTAGGCAAAGCTGACCTTTTCTTCCATTGCTGCACCATTGCTTTTGAGGGAACAGATGTTAGATCGTTTAAGTACAAAGCCTCACATTAAACTTTCCCTGAGGTTTAAAACAGTAGTGCACAGTAGTAGCTCATAGATTGAAATTTAGTACTTTTTTTTTTCCCGCCATTTAACTGAAATAGTGAATATGTATAAAAAGACTGACATTTGTACAAGCTTTGTCCATCTCAAACATCTGCAGAAAAACACCTTAATCTTCTATTCCTGTATACTTCACAGACGTAGAGAAATAGGCAGAAGAAACACAGTTTGAAAGTTAGAGGCACACAGGATAAACATGGCTTAAACTTGGATTTGATAAACAAAATTCAAAGCCAAAATCCCCCTTTAAGTTGTCTGATTTTTAGACATTAGTACCAAAGCCAATGACCTCATGCTGTCTTTTCCTTTTACACTGTGTATTTATTTCCAAGATGTGCTAAGTTAGTTTCCTTAAAATAGCACTACTTACAAGGGATATCAAATATAAGGAAAAAGACATCTGAAAGGAACTCATTGTTCCTTCTGTATCACAAACAACAGCCCACATTTGTACAACACCTCACGGAAATTTATGTAATCAAGACAAATACCTCCTTCAAAAATATCTCCATGAACTACCCCACTCCAAGCCCTTCTTAGTTGTTTATTTTGATAGTACCTAAACCCTGTTTTAGGTTTGTTTTAGGTTTTTAGTTGGACAGCATGCACACAGTGACTGGTCAGACAGGTAGAACAATCCAAGTTTCCTCACACATCTCAGTGCAAGAGTGCTCCTTTCAGGACCTTTCTTCAATTCACTTAAAGATATTTTCACCAAACGTGCACAAAGCCTTATTTAGAACTTGGAAATTGCATTTTTAGATTTGGCTAAACTAATAAAACTTATTCATTAGAGGGGAAACAACTTGTGGACAGACACACAGATGGGCTGTATGGTCCCAATATACCTTGTTTCATCAAGAAATCAAGTTGAAAATATTCACAGTTTAGTGAAAGATATTGCCCTAGCTCACATGCCTATACTCTAATGGAAAAAATCCCCACGTAGATACTTGCATGAGGTTGGTTAAGGCTGCATCATGTGAATGAATCTGATTTGGACAAAAGTTTTGGTTTGTGTTTCTAGCAAGGAAAAAAATCTTTTAGCATTAGCTGCTGAAGGACAGGTCAGAGAAAGTGCTGCAGTTCACCTTCTGCAACACGGTGTCTTGATACTGACCATAACACTGCATATTTATATGTGATGATCATCAGCAGATACTTGAGCGGACAGTGAGAACGAATAGGGAGCAACCTCAGAAGAATGCCAGGTTACTAGAAACATCTAACTGTGTTATTCTGCCTTTTGAGTTACAACCTAGCTTTGATGATAATGGAAAGATGTTCAATAAAAATGAAGACTGAGCTGGATGCTAAGAGCTAAAGCCAGGCAAGGAAATTTTAAGTCACCTATCTTCTGCTATCACATACTCCTGGGTCACTGCGATCACTGCAAATTCATCTGTCAGACTTAAGAGATTCCATTTACCTCAGTGCTACCTTTCTTGGCATGCTCACCGTACCTATCTGCAGTATAAAGCAACAGCAATGACTGTTGCTGACAAACAGCAACAACTGCAAGATATTTGGGGTCACCTAAGTCTCCCCTATCAACATGACAGTCATAACAAGAATTGATGTTCCAATGTCAGTGCTCAACACTGAAAAGTCAGAGACACGATCTGGTTTCTTTGCAGGGATACATCCTCCCCACCACCCAACTCTGAACAGACTCCAGCTGTAGGCATGTATGAAGGAATTGACAATTTCCACCCCTCACAGAGATCGTTTTCAGAGCTGGATCAACATTGAAGACGTGCCTTGGAGTCCCTTTGAGAGGATGCCATTGCAGAACCAGATCTCCAGCAACAGGGTCCAGCCTTCCACTCGCCTGTGCTGCGCTTACAGCTTCTACCTTGCAGCAGCTCAAATGTTTCCATCCTTTCACCACACTGATAAAAGAACATCTCCTAACAACTGCCAACATGAGGTCTACAAGCTCTACCCATGGCCACACACTCTGGCATGAAGAGAACTGGCCAAAAACAAACAAACAAACCTAACAACAAAAATGATAACTTTTTTCCTACCAGTCCTGCACGGCATTGAAGGAGTCTTCACTGGTGATGTCATACATGAGGATGAAGCCCATGGCTCCTCGGTAGTAGGCTGTAGTGATGGTCCTGTACCTTTCTTGTCCAGCTGTATCCTGGAACAGAACAGAATACTAAGGCTTTAAGACTCCACTTCTCAGAAACAGAAGCTGCAGTTAGGTCCTGTATCTAAAATAAGGCAATCACTTTTTATTATTATGTATTTTAAAGTTCTCATTTGTTCCCACTGAAATGAGCTTTACTTACATTTTAGCATTAATTGGGCTTTTGCATCAATGATGATCTGTTAAATGCGTTTTGACACATGTACTATTAAAAAAATAACCGAAGATGTCAACCCCTTAATTGCTCTCCTCTGCCTCAGCTTCAATGCAATAATAAAATGTTCACAGAGTTCACTGAAAGCTGACGCTTCAAAGCAGTGGCAATGGAAAATCATCAAGCACTGTACCCAGCAAAAGACATAAATGTGTGCAGTTTAGTGTCATGGTTAGAAATATGTCATTGAAATGGATGCTACGAGTGACTCAGTTTTAACCTGAGGTTAGAGACAGAAATTAAAAACTTGATGCAGTGAGAATTATTCTACAAAGTGAATTTAACATGGACTGTCCCAATCAAAGTGGCCAAAGCATGCATACTAATTTCAGATTTGTTAGTCTTCTTTAGCTTAATTCTCTTCAGCACTGAAGACTACCTTTACCTGGTCTTTTCACTTCTGTGTTCAGCTTGACAGCGCAAAGGTGGAACTCTGGCTCTGGCACATACAATAGAAGCATTTTGAAAGACTTGAGACAGCTGGAAAATGTGTCGCCTACCATCTGTTCGATGCCAGCAACATTTACTCCTTGCAAACTGAGGAACATTTCTACATCAGATCAGCAGTTCCATAGCCACTCTGCTCCCTCTGGACCTGCCTACTGAGCCATGGACAGAAGCTATATGCTTAAAGGAGCTCTCTTTTAGGAAATATCTGTATCACTTGAACAAAATATTTAATCCACCTTTCGGCAAACAGCAACTCTGGAATACAGGTGGCATAGTGTCTTATCTTCAAAGGGAACACTCAGCAGTAGGTGTTGACTGCTATTTACTCCTATGGGTCAGCAGTTCTGAGATGAGTTCTTAAGCCTTCTAAAACCCACACTTCAGAAAACATTTACTGTCAGTGTAATAAACAAAAATATCCTCTCTCTAGAGAAAAAGAGCAAAAAAATATTTATCACTCATACAGCTACCTGGAAGAGAAAAATACATTTGTTCAGAGCAGTCTTTCAGGAGCGCAGGGCCAGCTTCTGATCAGACACACAATGATCCAGGGAAAATACATGAGGTATAATGAGTGGGAGACCCAGCTTGAAAACTCTGTCTGTATGCCCCATAAATGCAGCTTTGTTTCTGCTGCATGCAAGAGACAGCGTTGGCCCTTTCAGTACATGCACAAGGAAGCATGTGAAAAGGGAATTCAGCCATGAACACTTGTTGCTCTGCACCAGCACATCACAGAGGCACTGTAGGAGGAAGGTGCTTGTAAATAAGCTCCCTGGAGCTCACTTAAAAGGCTCTGCCTATTGCTGCCGTGCGACTATCCACAGCTGCAACACAAAGTGAATTTCCCAGGGGAGAGCATGCAGCAGGATTTTTGCTGTAAAGTCACCACACTTAAGAGATTTTTTGCTGAAACTCGAACATTTATTTCAAGACGCGGTAGTCCACTGCCTGATCAGTGATGCATGACGTGATGACTTCAGAACATTTCTCTGATTCTCTCCTGACAAGAAGTACCAGAGTGAGGTGAACATCCCCTCACAGCCTGAGCGATCTGTTCTCCCACCACTGAGAAACCCACTGCAGAGCTCTTCTGCTCACTGATGCCACATCCCCATTTTTGCTGCTGAGCAGCTAAACCAGCTGTGCCACCTGGCTCCTGGCTGTACTTCTTAACACGAGAAAGGTCTCACCAACAATATTATTATTGTGTTTGTTCAGAGACGTGATAGTTGCATTATTTTAGCCTGATTTCCTGAGGACACAAAGATCATAAAATCACTGGTCTCCACAGTGCATGTGTGTGCACCTGTTTTAACTCTGGAAACTACTACTGACTCCTGATCAGATTTGACTGAGGAGGGATCCCAAAGGTATGCTCTTATAGGTGTCAGGGAAATTGGTGGAGAAGAGAGACATGAAACACACTCCTGATGGGGAAAAAAGCTCAAGCGTGACACTTACCGTTTCAAACCAAAAAGGATCTGCAGGAGAGGCTTTCTTCAAGCCTGCTTAGGAAGCAGATCTATAGAAAAAAGGCCTCTCTGTTTGGCTGAAAGATCTAAATCAGTACAAGTAGCTTCTCAGATACTGCAATCTACAAAAAGAAACAAACCCATAGTCAAGCTTCCTTAATTCACAAGCTCATTGAGTTTCTGTTTTATACCTCCATTACCTGGTTCTATCCCCCAAATCTCATCTTCCATTTCCTGTTTGAATAACACTCTCTTTGGCTGGTGGCATGAGGCTGTGATCAAGCAGTGAGCAACCACAAGCAGCACTGACTATCTACACAGAATTATCTGGAAAGAAACTGAATTTGACAATGGCTGGTAGCCAGGATCTGGCCCTGAGGAGGCCCTGAAGGGACGATGAGCAGCCACAGGGGAGGCCTCAAAAACATGCACCAGTGCAAACTGAGCACCTGGGTTCACACTTTGTGTTCAGGCTGTGGTACCACCTTCAGACTGAAATATGGCAATTCTAGATTGCTGGTTTGAGCATTCTGCCTGTGTGCTGCAGTGGGCCCTGCTTTATACCTCAGTGAGGGACAGGAATGTGGCTGCAGGTGGTACTGGCTTAATTTTCCTGATTCACATCATGGTTTAATGCTATCTTCACTACAACTGCCTTCCTTCCCCAAAACACATGCATTTTTCAACATAAATGAGAGAAAATAAACTGCAAAATCTGTGCTCTGTTTCTTCAGCTTGGACAGCAGCTGTCCTTACATCAGTTTAAAACACTGTGAACAATAGGTAATAAGGTGCTTCAGTTCTATGCGCAAGACATTCATCCAATGAAGGAGATACATAACTGACACAGATTGCTTCCCTCACCCCAAAGTTGTTAGCAAGATTTCAGGTAGAGCACAAACTTGTGAGAAGACAGGAGAAACAGGCAGCCGAGGCACAGGCAGGGATCAGCAGAAAGCCAGGGCAGCACTAATTAGAAGTCTAGCCAAATACCTGGGAAGAATAGCATGAGCCTTCAGTAGCCAGAAGTCTGCTTGGCTCTCCCCAAAGAGGAATCAAATAGCTTGGTTATAGCAAGGAGCAGAATGGTCTCTGCGAGGTATATTTACACTAATACACTAACAAGCCTGTTCCTCCACAGCTTACATGTTGCCTATCCTTGACACAATTAAAAAAACCCACAAGACCATTAGTTGGTAGCTTGAAACAAAAATCTGAAGGTTTTGCACTAATTAGCAATCAAGTTTCAGGGTTTATCACAGGAAAAACGATCTAAATGCATTCGCATTATGTGTGGATGCAACTTACTCACAAGGTTCACCACTAAGTATTCACAGGAGCACAACCAGCTGCTCCTTATTTACTCGGCTCCTCAACAGCAACAGTGAGGTACTCATGCAGGAAACACACTTGAGATTTTAAATCACAATAGACATTCTTTGTTGCTGCTCTGAACGATGAGAATCCCTACCACTGTTCCAGAATTTGTGTTTCCAGTCAAAGTCTTTTTTTTCAAAACAAAATGTCACTGAAACGTCTTTCTTGTACCAGATTTAATCTCCTCAGCACCATGACTTTTCCAGCAGTGTACATGACCAACATTCTTCATAATAAATAAACCTTGCTTTTTTGGGGGGGGAGAGGGGGAGATTATGTTTTTGTTTCTTCTTCTTTTTAAAGAAGAATAACATGGAAGAATAGAAGTCACCTCTTGTCCAGCTGGATGACAGCAGCAATTACAAACAGCACACATGCCACTCCACTGCTGCCATGAACCCAACACCCTCCTTGCTTACACTGCTAAGAGACTCAGAATGGAGGCAACTTCAACCCCAACAGCCAGCACCAGGAAAGGCCCATCTTGATGGCAGAAGCTGCTTGTTGTGCACCTTGAGCTCAGCCATCACACCTCCTGCACGCTACATGAAGGCACACACACACTTCCTTTGCAAAAGCAGATTTTTGACTGGAAGCCACCACACACCAACTAAATAGATGCCATACAGATTAGAAAGGGAAAAAAAATGCCAAAAAGCACATGGGTGAGTGAACAGAGTGACCTCTGGCAGAAAGTATGTGACATTAAAGAGAAGATGCTAACATGGAGCTTACTGTTCCCGCTGGCAGCTAGAAATAGGAACAAACAGGCAAGCAAGATGAGTCACTGGTTGAGACATGGAAAAGATGCGATGTCATGAAAAGCCCGTGAAGTTTCAAATGCTGCCAGGAGCAAAATAACACCTGGTTCCTGCAGAACTCAGCACTGATTAAAATACTCCATTACATTGAGCATTTTTCCTTTCTTATTATTGAGTGCTCCTGTTGCTGAAGAGTCACTGGAACCTACTCAGGTGCACCCAGATACCTTGAGAGCCAGCTCCATGTGAGCAGTATCAGTAAGACGCAGCAAAACATTTATGGTGGAAAAAAAGGAGGAAAACACACACAATAAAACCACTCTTTCATATAAGAGGTTCTACCCTTGCAAAGTGTTTTTTAAACATTTTCCTATCTTTGCCCAACTTCCACTTCTCTAACTGCAAATAAACAATCTGAGATTGCAGCAAAGTCCAAATACATTGCATCCCTTGATAGACCACCTACTCAGGGTAAGTAATAAAACCATCACAGCAAAGACAAAAGTAAAATAGAAAAAAGAGTGTCCAATTGAATGCAATTTTATATAAAAAGTTTGCCAGTTTTGCAAGACCTTTTCAGTTCTTCCACATAAACACTTGAGTTATCTTAGCCAACCACTGTAAGAACAGCTGTACAATACAGATGTCTGAGCAATGTCAGCCACTATAAACAGCATTAATTTGCTGGAGTTGGCAAGAAACAAATAAATTAAT